AATATATATTTTTTATATATAATTTAATTTAAGTTTAATAATAAAATAATTTATTTTTGGTTTAATATTATAAATTTTATAAAGATTATAATTAAGTATTCTGTTAGAATTTAATAATTATACTAATTATATTTTAGATTTTTTATATTTAAAATGAGATGTTTATCCTGTATTTGATTGTGTTTATCTGCTGTTAGTTACACGAATTCAGATATGGGAAGGGTTTAAGAGTTTTAGCCAAATGCATTATAATATAGTATATATATATATATATATATATATATATATATATATAATTTTGATGGATATACAAAAACGAAATAGTTGTTTAAACATGCAATAGATCAAAATAAGCAACTTCATGTTATAAGTAAAATGATTTTTCTAATTCCATAAATGTGTGTATATTGTAATTTTTATAAATTAGAATAACAAATTTATATATAACAACAATAGATAGAAAGAGAGGGTGACTAAGGGCCTGTTCAGTTCGTTTTCTGTTAAGACATGTATGAATATAGTTGTCTGTATTAATATAGTTGTCTCTCTGTTAACAGATAAATTGTTGTTCGATTGTTGTGTTGAAAAATAGTCTGAATGTCATAAATGACCATTTTAACTCCAATCTTTATTTTTATCCGAATAAAACAACAATTTTATAAAAATGTTGAACAAATGATTTATAATTATAAAAAAAAAAATATCAATTTAAAAATTCTTTAAATAAAAACAACATGATTAACATAATTATATGAGTTAAATGTTATAATAAAAATAAGTAATAATAATTATATAAAAAAATATCAATTTAAACATGTCCTTTCTAATGGGGAAACAAACATCACCCATAAAATTAAACATCATCTTCCTATACATTAACATCATAAATGGGAAAATGGGTTTTTTGACAAAAACTGAGAAGGGGGGGGGGGGGGGGGGGGGAAGAAATTTACTCATCGGAGTAAATGACAAACCACCGTGATGTCGGCAGAGCTTCATCTTTGCCACCGGAAAAAGCTGAAAGAGACGGTGGGGGGTTTTGGGTTACAACAGTCATGAAAGAGACAGAAAATCGATGGAGCAGTCTTGGAGCAGAAGAAGCAGTCGGCTGCAAAACTAAGGTTCTTCGATTAATGGTGAGTGCGAGTAATTAGGGAGAGGGGTAGATGGGGAAAGTAAATACATTTAATTGGCTGAGTAGATAGGACAATGGTTTTGTGGTTGGCCGATTCAACTATTGTCCGAGCGATTAAGCTCTTACCCAATACATATATGCCTGTGAGAATAAGCCATATCTGTTATACAACTCATTAACCTGTTACTGAACAATCCCTAAATGCTAGGTATCAACTATGGACTTCATCCTCATCACTTCCAACTTCCAAGAAACAATAGTGGCCCCTTTCACTATATATATGAATGTTTTTTAGAAGGTGTGGGTGATCCTTAGCCAACATTGGCTCCGCTTCTATACATGTAAACGCATATGAATAATACTAGAAGGGTACTCGCGCAATGCAGCGAGATACATCATGATTTTAATATTTCATTTTCTTCTTTATCTCAGTCGATATTATAATATGGCTTTATGTGATTTTGAGAAAACGATAATGTTTTTATTTTTGAATAAAATATATGTTTGAAGATATCATAAAAATTTGACAAAAATATATCGATATTAGTATCAAA